GCACCTATGTGCCAGCACTTAGAGGTGACAGGTTCTCTTTATGGAATCATCAGGGGTCCATTTGACTCCTTATTTCAATATGTCAGTGCTTGGTGGGGGGCCTCACAACATCATATGGAGGTAATGCTCAGGGACGGACATCAATATGATGGCACATAGGGGGCTGCTGTTCCGTGATACGTTAGGAAGCCTCAGGAAACATACAGGACAAAAAACAAAAGAACAGCGCCTTCTCCTCATGAAATATTTATTTATCCAAATAAAACTGAATAAAATAATACTCACAAGTGGTGTCTGTTACTTGAGATTTCAGAACAACCTTCCAGACTGATTGACAGTTCAGCCCAATGCCGAATTTTGTCCGACAACCAAAATGTGAACCTGAACAATGGTGTTGCAGACGCGTTTCAAGGGATGTATCCTCTTCATCAGAGCAAGTGGCAAGTCTTTTTGACTCCTGATGTCTCCCCTACCCTCCAATATACAGTACAGGATTATGCAAAGGTACGGACACGGACTGAGTGACCTCTCTTCAGGACCTCTGCTCCATGAAAATTTTACTCACTGGACCACTGGATATTTTTTCTGTAACTTGGACTAAGTTGCAACTGTTCTTTTCTTTTCAGAATGCAAGCACAGCAATAAGAACATAGTCAGAAGTTGTAATCTTTATTCATTCTACCAAAAAAAAATGTGTTTTGCATTAGTCTGTGTCCCAGTTGGCAGGAAGTGAGGGAAATCTCTCTAACAGGGGCATAGATAGCAACACAAACAGATCATATGTTTCCCACTCTATGGCAAGAACATTTCTTCTTCATCCATGCAGCAGGGGCTGTATGTGTAGTCAAGTGTGGCATGTACATGCCATGTTGTGGTAGTGGTAACATGCTTATGTTGGGAGAACCACCAGCAGGCCCACACAGTCTTGCTACATACACTATATTGCCAAAAGTATTGGGACACCCCCTCCAAATCATTGGATTCAGGTGTTCCGTGAAATTTCCTTGCTACTAAATATTCCACCGTCAACTGTTGGTGGTAAAGTGGTATTATAACAAAGTGAAAGCAACTGGGAACAACAGCAACTCAGCCACAAAGTAGTAGGCCACGTAAAATGACAGAGCGGGGTCAGCGCGTGCTGAAGTGCACAGTGCGCAGAAGTCGCCAACTGTCTGCAGAGTCAATAGCTACAGACCCACAAACTTTGTATGGCCTTCAGATTGGCACAACAACAGTGCGTAGAGAGCTTCATGGAATGGGTTTCCATGGCTGAGCAGCTGCATCCCAGCCTTACACCACCAAGTACAATGCAAAGCGTTGGATGCAGTGGTGTAACGCACACCGCCACTGGACTCTAGAGAAGTGGAGACGTGTTCTCTGGAGTGACGAATCACACTTCTCTGTCTGGCAGTCCGATGGATGTGCCTAGGTTTGGCGGTTTCCAGGAGAACGGTACTTGCCCGACTGCATTGTGCCAAGTTTGGTGGAGGGGGGATTATGGTATGGGGTTGTTTTTCAGGGGTTGGGCTTGGCCCCTTAGTTCCAGTGATGACATACCATCCGGCTTCCCGATTGCCCGGGAAGCCAGCTCCATGTTGTCTGGTTGGCTTGATTGTGACTGGCCAGGAAACCGGCTTCCCAGCCAATCAGCATCAAGCCAACTTCCCGGCCAATCAGGAAGTTGGGCGGTGAGCAATGATCCGCCTCCAGGCTTCCTGATTGGCCAGGAAGCTGGCTCCATGCTGATTGCTGGGAAGTCGGCTTTCCAGCCAATCAGCATCAAACTGGCTGTTCGACCAACTCGATGCTGTTGGCCAGGAAGCAGGGTTCCCGGCCAATCAGCATGGAGCCGGCTTCCCGGCCAATCAGGAAGCGGGCTCATTACTCGCCGCACAGATTCCTGATCGCACGGTAAGCTGGTTCCATGTTCCCCTACGGCACTGCCGGTCAGAGGAAAACTTCCTCTGACCGGAGGTTCCAGTATCGGAGCATTTGGGCGAGTACGAGTACTTGCCCAAATACTCGGTATGGGCACAGATAACGATACTAGTATTTCAATGGCCCCTGTTCACGCCTGACCAGCAAAATGCCAGCAGGAAAACGCCAAATGTCTGAAAAAGTACATGAGCTTCTTTGCACAGTTAACAGTGCGTTTTTGTGCCATAGACTTCAATGGAAATGCCCGAAAACATGCGACAACCATGTTGCACATTTGCGCAAAAACGATGCCGCCTAGGTGTGAACCCTAAGGGCCCATTCACACCACATCTAGATCATCTCCAGACCAGACTAGATTGTTTCCAGACCCAAAATGCATCCTAATGTATCCCTATGCTATTTCTGCCCTCTGTTCACACCAGAGCCGTCCGTTCCAGACCAGACCAGAATGTCGCCTTTTTTTCTGGTCTGGAATGCACTAGAACTGCGGCAGGTTCACACCATTTTCCGGACCAGATCTGGTCCGGAAAATGGTGTGAACCTGCTAAGGGAAGATAGAACACCCTAAAAGTTGCTGCTGCAGATGTGCAAATCAGAAAACTCAAGCACAATAGTTTGAACCCTTGATTAAATCACATGTAAGTATTTTTAAACATTCTGTTTGCTATGAGTAAATACATAAAGTATATATTGGATGAGGTACTGACCTGGAAAGTATAGAACACGTTGGCACTAGATGCATGAATAATAACTCTTACAACATACACCTTTAGCATGGGTCTGCGTCATAAAAGGGCAGCACTGCCACCAAGTGTTAAACAGCTGTAACTGCATTAGTGAAATTTCAGGGCTATTCACAAAAGGGTGAAGAGTTTGGAGAAGGCAGAAGAAGTGAGCAATTTAGGCCAATATTGATAAAATAGCGACTATTTTGGCCCAGATTGTTCTCTTCTCCTGCCTTCTCCTAACTCTTCACCCTTTAGTGAATAGACCTGTAAGATGTTCCAGCTGACACCACTTCTTATGTTAGCCCCTATGCTGTATCGTTACTTGAAGCCACCTTAAAAAGGTATAAATCAAATATTCCAGGGCACATAATAAAAGTGAACCTGTTCAAAGACAAAAGCATACACTTTCAATTCCCCCATCCACGCTAAACAGCATGGATGGGGGAATCTCCACTGCTGGCTATTGTATCCTGACAGCCAGCTCCTGTGGCTGTCAAAATGCTAAAATATTGACTGCAGCTAATTGGATGCAATCAATGTCCAGCCAGCAATGCAAATGCGTCAAATGTTAAACGCGCAAATTAAAAGAAACACGCTTACGGTACCATTATTATTAATGACACCCCAAATACAGTCAGGAAGGCGCGCAGATAAAAAACACGGAATGCATGTTGCAGATTTTTTTTCCCCATGCTTGCTGCCCCCCATTAAAATCTATGGGGAAACGCGGCAAACGTGGAAAACAAATGTGCACGAATGCACTCAAATGTGCGCGGACATTACGCCTAGGTGGAAATGTGGCCTTAAAGATGCATTTTCTAATTTAGTCCCTCTCGGTGGGAGGGAAAATTAAGGATGGCTTTACAGCTATCTGCTTTCATTTGTGTTTTTTCATGTGTTTTTATTGTGCATTTTCTTGACTTTTGTGCTCTGCATCTAGCGAGCTGTGAGAAGATTCTGACATTTTCCAGATGTAGCTGGGCCAAGACCACATAACCTGTTGCCAGAAGTGGGTCCCAGTAACCATGTATTTGCAGCGCTCGAAAAAGCACCTATCAGGCGTCATTATGCACTCCCATTGGCTTCTATCAGCCCCTCGATGCACATTGATGGATGAAAAAGCATGAATTAACTATTTTCTATTATGCACTGCAACGCATATATATGAACAAGACCCAATGAAAGCAATGGGATGCCAAATAATGTGTGTTTTAAGGAGTCATAATGCAAACATTACAATTCATAGGTGTGAACAGGGCCTAAATGTTCTGTATGTCATGCTCTACATGAATTTAAAGCCAATACTTTTTGTTTTGTTTTGGTAAAAGGGTTAAAACCTGTGTCAGGATTTTACTGGTACAAAAACAAAGGTTTCCCAGCACACTTACCAGCTAGCCTGCAAATTAATTACACTGTCCAACTACTAGGGTAAAAAAACAGGTTTTGGTTGCACAACTTTTGCAAAACAGGTGGTTGCCGCACTGCCCTGTCAAGGCCCCTCTGTGTAGGGCGGTCCTAACTCTAATCTATGAGAGCCTCCATCTTGGAGCATATATAGCAAAGGATGAATTGGGTGCAGGTTCACCAGGAGGCAGCCCATACCCCATTAAAGGCATAGGGACACACCAGAAGCCCAGCACATCACAAAGGCCATTGAAGCCCCCACATTTTTGTTTTTGTACTGTATAAAGCCCTTCCATGTGTACCTTACTTTAAAAGCTAGTTATGAATTGATGTGTGTTTGCCATTTGTTTCACTTGTTGGATTTGGTGTGGTAACACACTGGGGGCTTCAGCTGCCATTGTGATATGCTGGACTACTGTTGTGCCTTTGTGCCATTAAGGAGGAAAAGGATGCCTTCTGGCGAACCTGCAATTCACCCTTTGCTAAAAAATCTGGAACTATGCTTTGCTATGTGAATATTTAATATTATGTGTATATATATATGTATACTGTATGCATACACACACACACACACACACACACACACATACATATATGTAAAGGAGGCCTTTCCACTGACTTTTTACCAATTGTCAGTTTAAAGGTAAGGTGAGTTTTCTAATGAGTTGGTAAGGGGAAGCTCCACTGGATGCCAATGTACAGGGGACATTTTTACTAACAACCAATGTAAAAGCAGCATTTTACCAACTGCCAATGAAAAGGGACAATTTTTTACTGACCATCAGGGTAAGGTGGGCTTTTCCACTTACCATGTGAAGGGGCATTTTTGCTTCTATAATGGTGTCTCACAAGGATTGCACTAATTAGTAATTATTTATTGAAAACCAAAAAAAACAAACAAATATGAATACAGAATTATTTCTGAAGAGGAGAAAATCCTTTTCCTAAGCGATGCTGAAGATATCGGGTACAATGTAGTCTTTATGAGTGCCGTCAATCAGTCCTTCTGCATTGGAATGTACAAACCAGCAAGGGACCTTTTTACCTTTCCTGGGATCACTCCTGTAATCTTTTTGTGAACCCCTAAAATGATAAAATAATGCAAAGGCTTATACGTCTGCCACAGTCCTATAAGACAACATTTATGTAAATTATTGTGCTATATTTATTTTTAACAGCCATTGACAACTGCAAGGAGAGAGCTCCTAGCAAGAGCATACCTGTAGCACCCGAAAGCATACGTGTCCAGGATAATTCTAAATGTCAAAGTACAGGGGTCAAATCTCATCTGAAAAGTCCTTAGGAAGGGCGCATAGCGGTTGCCGCGTGGCCCCATTGATTTTAATGGGGTTACAAGTACCTTTTTTGCGACACGATGCACAGCTTTTTTTTTAGCAGTGATCGTGTTCAATTGCATGGGTGAAATCGCGGTGAGAATCAGTGAAATCCGCCCGGCACGACTGGGGTGCCATTAGAAAATTATGGCACCTCTAGCACGATCGGCTGCGGTGTACACCTCCGTGACTGTGCCCAAATCCGCGTGGTTTTGTGCACGATTGCCGCGCGGCCAGGAGTCGCCCAGGTGTGAACCTAGCCTAAGTCATAATTTACAGAATCACTGGCTGCCTTAGTGGATAGATATCCATAGAACCTATTTTTTACTCTGAGCCATTGTTGTTGATTTACTAAAGGAAAAAAAGCTGTTTACTTTGTAAGTGAATATGAACTTTTTCGGGACAGATGTTCTTCCTCAATACAGTTTTTTAGGTTTACGGTTGGCCAATAAACCAGTTTTCACATCACCCATAATTTCCATGCTTTCCAACTGCTGCAGAGCTTATACTAAGCTATATCCTATCCACACACATCTCTTCTTACCTTGTCACTGTCAGTAGCTTGTTCTTCACTTTCATTGTGGCATCTGGTTTATCAGGAATTTTTGTTTTGTGGACATTGGAAATTTCATAATCAATCCCATGGAAAAACTGGCCTAAATATAATAATAATTATTATTATACAAGATTTATATAGCGACAAAAGTTTGCAAAATAAGAAGACATTACAATTACAATACAATTCAAGACAAGATGGTAAGGAGGACCCTGCCCATGAGGGCTTACAATCTAAAAGGGTGGGGGAAGTGATACATGAGGAGGTAGCAGTGTGGGGATGAAATGTTTGAGAATGTGATAGTTCAGTGGTTAGGTTGAGGTGGGATAGGCTTCCCTGAAGAGATGAGTCTTTAGGCATCGCCTAAAGGCAGTCAAGGTGGGAGATAGACGGACAGGTAGGGGTAAAGAGTTCCAGAGGATGGGAGAGACTCTAGAGAGGTCCTGGAGGCGAGTATGGGAGGAGATGACAAGGGAGCTGGAAAGCAGGAGGTCTTGGGAGGTGCGGAGGGGACGATTAAGGTCATATTTTGGGACAAGGTTTGAGATATATCCGGGGGCAAAGTTGTGGATGGCCTTATAAGTGATTGTTGATATTTTGAATTTTATCCTTTAGGCGAATGGAAGCCAGTGGAGGGATTGGCAGTGGGGGGTTGCAGACACTGAGCGGTTAGTCAGGTGGATGAGTCTAGCAGCTGCATTCATGATAGACTGAAGGGGGGGGGTAGCCTGTGTAGTGGTAGGCCAATGAGGAGGGAGTTGCAGTAGTCAAGACGGGAGATTACAAGGGAGTGGATAAGTAATTTAGCAGTTTCATTGGTGAGGAAGGGGCGTATTTTGGAGATGTTACAAAGGTGAAGGTTGCAGGATTTGGATAGTGATTGGACGTGGGGAAGAAAGGTGAGGTCAGAGTCAAGGATTACACCTAGCACCTTAGCATGAGGGCAGGGATGGATAGTTGTGTTCTCAATGTCAAGGCAAATGTTGGGGGAAGGTGCAGGGGCGGGAGGAAATATCCTGAGCTCAGTTTTTGATAGATTGAGTTTTAAGAAGTGTTGTGACATCCAGACTGATATGTCAGTTAGTAGATTAGTGACACGCAAGGACACTGAGGGGGAGAGTTGTGGAGTAGAAAGATATATTTGAGGGTCATCGGCATAGAGATGGTATTGGAAGCCATTTAAAGTTATTAACTGACCAAGAGAGGCGGTGTAGATAGAAAAAAGAAGGGGTCCAAGGACTGAGACTTGGGTAACCCCTACAGAAAGCGGAAGAGGAGGGGAGGATTTAGATTTGTAGGTGACACTAATAAGTATAAAAATGTGTCCAGGTGATAAATGGTAGCCTATGGTTTATAGCATAATCGTATAATTATAGTGCACCTATTTAGTTCTTATAATGGAGATCATATAGTCAGCAACAACACTTAGATTTGCAGGAAAAATTCCAATTATTATATTATTAAACATAATTTAACAGTTTGCGCAGCACATTACAATATAAAGTGAGACAACACAGTTACAATACAGTCCAAGGCAAGAGGGTTAGGAGGGCCCAATCATGAGAGCTTACAATTTGGATACAAAAGGCACTGTGTGGGAATGAGTTAATGGAAAAAGTAATATTTCAGTTGCTAGGTAGAGGTGGCATAGGCATCCCTGAAAAGATACGTTTTCTGGGATCGCCTAAAGCCACATAGAGTAGAAGATAGCTGGACAGGTTGGGATAGGGAGTTCCAGAGGATGGGAAAGACCCTGGTGAAGTCTTGGAGAGGAGCATGGGAGGAGGTAACGAGGGAGCCAGAGGGCAGAAGGTCTTTGGAAGAGTGACTGTTTTGGTGATATTTTCAGACAGGGTTGGTGATGTAGTTGAAGTTGTGGATGGATGTGGATGGATGAGTGAAATCCAGTAAAAGGATTGGTAGACAGGGGTGGCAAACACTAATTGGTTGGTAAGGTGATGCTCAGATGGTATTAGGTGTGTCAAGAAACATTCCCCAGGCCATTACACCACCACCAGCAAGTACTGCTCACACAACATATGATGGATTCATGGGCTCATAAAAGATATGCTAAATACTGACCCTACTATCTTATTGTCATAGCAAAAATTGAGACACATCACACAGGGAACATTGTTTTAGTCTTTGGTGATCTCATCCAATCTTGGTGATCTCATACCCCTTTTAATGGTTCAAGTTGTTGTAATGAGTGGTTATTTGGGAAGTTGTGGACTTTATTTCAATCCATTCCCATCTCATTACTGGCCACTCTCCTTAACAAGGTGTTTTTACCCATAGAAGTGCCATCCACATACAGATATATTTGGTTCTTTGTACCATTCTCTGTAAACTTTATAGATGGTAGTGCATAAAAATCTAGGGAGGGGGGGGGAGATAGTACATATGAAATCACACAGGGAGCACAGATAGAGACTATAAGGGGGAAGTTGTTAAGACACACATTTATATATTTGGAAGATAAAAAGATATGGGTAAGGGAATTTGAAGCGAACGATATTATACAGATAGAATTTAGAATTGACACAATAATGTAATTTAGAGGAGAGAGTGATTAATGATAAAGGCAACGAGTGTAGACGAGGGGGGGTGGAAATAATTAAATTGTTAAGACACACATTTTAATTTTTTGAAGAATAAAAAAGTATGGGTAAGGGAATATGATGTGAGTATCACACAGACATAAAGTAGAAGTGTCACATAAATAAAATAAATGAGGAAGTGATTAATCATAAAGGGGAATGGGAGGAAGAGGGGGATAGAGATAATTGGAACACGTAAGAAATAAGGAGCTAGACACAATACACATAGTGGTAAATATAGGGAATAATGAGGAGGAGGAAGTGCAGTTAGGGGGATGTATGTATGTATGTATATATGTGTATATGTGTATATACATGTATACATGTTTATATGTATGTATGTAATATACATGAAATTATTTTTATTTCATTTTTTTTTTTTTATCATGGCATCATTCAATGACAGCTCAACCTCTTTAGCAGGTCTGCACACATTATGTATTTGGTTTTAGCTATATCATTCATTGTGTGACTATTTTTATTGAAGATGAAACCTACCTAATAAATAGTATATGTAGCGTTGTTTAAAGCCCAGCTCCAGGCATTTTTTTAAAATAAATTAGCCTGGACTTAATACAATACAAAATGAAGCTCTCAATGCAATCTCCAGATCCTTTCCTCATGTAATCTCCAGATCCTTTCCTCTGCATTAAGTCTTCTCACTACCAAATGGTGCTGCTGTTGTGAATTGAATGGCTCACCAGTGGTGTAACAACCGGGAGGGTGGCCGGTGCGCTGGCCCCGGGCGCAAAGTGGAAGGCGAGCGCCCGGCCACAAATGGCACTTTTGGCTAAATGCCGAAAGTGCCATTTTCCTGCCGTTTTCTCGGCACAGCCGTGATTTCTTTCCTCCCTGCTGGGAGAAGAGAAAGTGACAGCCGGCCGAGCGCTGCGGGAGGAGACCGCCGTGATCGGCCGGTATCGCCTCCCACACCGCTCAGCCGCCTATCACAGTGCGGCAGAGCGATGTGGGGGCGGAGACAGCGCTGTGACAGGAGGCTGAGCTCTCCTCCGTGCATCGCTCACTCAGCCTCCTGTGACAGCGTGTCAGAGAGGAGAGTGAGAGCAAACACTCAACGATCAGTGATTGCTGAGTGTTTGTAGATAATTGAGGATATGGTATGGTTACTGTATCCTCAATTATGAATTAATGGGAGTGATCTACATCACCTCCTGTCCATTCATAGTTGTAGTTATAGTAAACACACTCTGTTCTCATGTTATCAATGAACAGGAACACTCATAAAGGATTCCTGGGATGTGGGGGGTACATTTCTGGTGGATTTTTATATAATGGGGGCAAAAACAATTCTGCCCCGGGCGCCCATAACTCTGGTTACGCCACTGTGGCTCACAGCATCATTCTGCTCACCTCCTGAGAGCCCTGGGCTGGGGGTATATCATCCAGCTGCCCTGGATTCACAGAAAAATGCTACTGGGAGTGGTGCCATGACATTTTTAGAAAAGAATAATCAAACTGGATTTATTTACCCTTCAGAACAAATGATTAAGGAGGGATATGCTCATCATGTATAAATACATAAACAATACATATAGCAAACTCCTTAAAAAGTAGTTTACCTTCAGGGCTCTGCAAAAGACACCAGGGCACTCTTTGCAACTGGAAGTTGACCCCTTAAGGAAAGGTTTCTTTACTGTAGGAACTGTGAAAATGTGGAATAGACAACCACTGTAGAGAGGTCCAACTGACTCAAAAGATTGCTTAAAAAATATTGAATGCTTTATATCCAAAAAAAGGCTGGATAAGGGGGTCATTTAAATTATTCTCATCTTTTTTAATATTAAACTGCCCACTATTTGTTAGCAGTCGCTGTATCCATTTTTGTATTATATGAAAGCCACTTAAAATTGAGCTTAGTTGACCTTTGGAAATAATCAATGATGATCAACAAATGATCTGGTCATATGTAAAACTAAATATAAAGTCCACAATTGAAGAATGCTAACAGAGTAATATGTAGCTGTTTGCATACAAGGGTTGATAAAAAAATGAACTCCAGTATATAAGTACAGTCACCTTACCTAACAATCCATGAACATGTGCAGAAAATTTATGGTCATCCAAAGTATAGAATCCTAAGAAATCCATGTGCAGAGGATCATCTTTCAAAAACTGATGTAAAATAATGACGAATTTCGCCCCTTCTCCAAATGACAGTGTCATATTGTTTTTCTTATGTATAACCAGGTTAAGCCTGCAATAGAAAAAAAAATATCTTGTAAAGTAAATAACAAGTTCTAGTTTTTGCATAGCCTGCCTAGGCCATGGTCTAGGGTGGTAGAACTTCCAGGAGGGAGTCACAAAGCCACCCAAATATCACATTACCTTCCTCTGTACAATTAAAGGTCCAAGAGTACAGGTAGTTTATGGTGTAAGACCTGATTGGATTTTGTGCGGTTAGTCCAGTGGCAGGATAAGGTGATAAGGTAAGTATACTACAGATGGCAGTGAGTTTTGTGTTAGGTGTTTCTTTAGGAGACAAGTTAGGCTACAGTTAAGGGGTTTACTTTCAGTTGTGAGGTTGAAGTTAGGGCTAGGTTTTTAGAGCTGGTGCTACAAAAATCATACAAATAAATAAAATTTACTTCTATACCCTTTCTTCTTGACCGATGTTGTCTTCTCCCATGTGTATTCCTTCTTGTTTTTGCCCAACATGATGGTGATTGTCTCAGTAGTCACCTCAATTCTCAGTTTCATCTCTCTGTTTACGAACCCAAGTTTTCCAAAATAGGTTTCATTTGACATCACATTATTGCCTATTTTCTTCTTTCCAATAATTTCCCCATTGACTGCAATACCTACAGCAGATAATTTAATGAAGTGTCACAATATTCCATTTCAATAGCATACAAAGGTTAAATTGGTGACACATTACAGTGAAATGACTGAACAAGGTTAGGTTGAATGGCACATAAATAATCAAGGTGTTTTGTGTTAAAAATGATTCAGTTCACATGTTGAAATAATGATAATGTGTGGTAGAAAACTAGCAAAGGTATGCTGCCATGGGTTACTGTGTCCTAAATGTGAACAAAACTGTATAACCATACAGGTTATAGTGGATTAAAGCAGTTAAAGTCTAGTCAGTCTCTACAATAGAGGACCCTACTTAAAACAGAAGGCATTCACATGCCTCATTCCATCAAATATTTTAAAAATAAGAAAAGTAGTTCTCATTTCACGAGAGTAGTTGGAGCCATGCAAATCATGGTTTACATACACTGCACTGATGGTGGCCAAATAACCTGAACCAGCTGTTTGCAGTTTGGAATGAATGCCTCTATAATATTAAGCTATACTTGCATCATACACCAGTGATTTTGGATGGGCATCTGGCCGAAAGGGTGAAAAAAATTATTTGCATGACTCCTCCCACTGTCTTGAAATGAGGATTATTTATTTTATCTTTGAGATATTTGATGGAATGATACAAGACTGTATGAAAGTGAGTAGATAAGCTGAAAACATAGACCTGGGTAGACCATCATATTCTATGCAGCAATCAGTGTAACTGTATAATCAGAATCTCTATGTGTACATGTCTACTGTGACAAACACAAACGGTCACATAATGTATAACATACCAAGTCCTTGATCCTCAACAAGATTTAACACCACTCCAGGCTCCTCTTGTATGTTAAAGCACAAAGCATCGTTCTGGCTTGGAACATTTATCACAAAATGAGGATCAGAATCAACTGTCAAAACAAATTTTATTGTAAATGTAAACTCTGTAAAAACTGAACTTTTTTCTTGAGTTTCAATCCTATTAGACTCTAATAGATAATGGCTGGTGACTGTTCATTTAAATACATTTACATAGGGTTATTAACAGGGAGGTAGCAAAGAAAGGTTCCAAACATTTTTTTAATATCTTACTGCTCATTTCAGAGGTGCTGGATAGTGGTATTAGTGGCTCTAAAATTTAGGCCATCCACCATAGTGATCTACAGCAGTGTCTTCTTTTCCTTGGTCATAATTGGTGTAATGGAATGAAATGATCATGACAATGATCACGTATTTCCCTGTTCGGCCGACCCGAAGTGCAGAAGGAGTTCGACTCAGCCGATCCAACATCTGGATCGGCTGAGCCGAACCTCCGGCAGGCTGCTCGCTGCTGTTTGGTCTATTCTTAGAGATGCCGAACAGCAGTGAGTGAATAGCCAATTGCCACCATATAGGCCATCCACCATAGTGATCTACAGCAGTGTCTTCTTTTCCTTGGTCATAATTGGAAGCCATAGCTGGTGTCATGGAATGAAATGATCATGACAATGATCACGTATTTCCTTATCCATCTGCCCAGAACATGCTGCTATAGAGATCACATAGTCCACATCGCACTTGGTTGTCAACAAGTGTTGGCTCCAGAAACCATTTTTTTGCCGCTTGCGGGAAAGTCAATAAGTCCAGAGAGTCCCGGAGAGCGGACCGCATTAACAGCTTACCCCAGTTCTGGGGAGAGGCGCCATCGGAGCCATAGCGTACAACAGTAAACATGCCATTAACCACCCTGCTATCCCACATAACAACAGAAACTGGTGAAATAGCTTGATATCCCAAAACCTGTTAAACTAGGTAGAGTATTACTCTATACTCCCACGTGGGCATTTTGTAAGACAAAACTCGAACAAAGTCTAGCTGAGGGTATACATTACCGTACCGCCCCTGCAGCTCCCTACAGGAGCAAGTACATCCACAGCTGTATACCCTCTCAGTCCGTGTGACATTCAGGCCAATGGCAGCGCCGTAAGGGCAGCGCAGCGGCGATGCCACATTAGGATATAACAGTACCGGATGATGAAGATGGTAGCCTCAGTCCCGATTATCCACGCATGGAGTCCAGCCAGTCCGCCGCTGTAGCAGGATCCTCAAAAAACTTGGTAGAGCCGGCAAACTGCACCCTCAGTTTGCTAGGATAGAGCATGCTGTATTTCAGACCTTTGTCACGGAGATGGCGTCTGACATCCACAAATGAGCGCCTCTTTCTCTGTAGTTCCGGCGAAAAATCAGGAAAAAGCATAATGGTGGCATTTTTGTACCTCAGCTCCGACTCCCTTCTTCTGGCAGTGGCGAGGATCAGATCCCGATCTCTAAAATTGAGGAAGCGGACCAAAAATGGCCGAGGAGGCGAACCAGGAGGTCTGCGACTCGCGGGCACCCGGTGGGCGCGCTCCACTATGTAGGCCGCAGAGACCGATTGGAGATCCAAGAGTTCCTTAAAGAACGCCTCAGCAAAGGCGGTAGTATCCGGGCCTTCCACCCCCTCCGGGAGCCCCACTACCCGCACATTATTGCGGCGTAAGCGATTCTCAGCATCCTCTGAGCGTGCTGTTAACTGCTCCACTGAGCTTGGCTGGCTCCGCCCAGCTGTCAGAAGCAGGCTGTCGGCCGGCCAGTGGCCGGCCGCTCGGCCAGCTTCGGCTTTCACCTCGGCTCAGCCGAGCCGAAGCATATGCCTTCGGCTCGACCAAGCCCCCAGGCCGACTTTGGGAGCTGTACGGGCTATAGTGAATAGCCCGTACAGCAGCCCTTCGGTTCTACTGAACCGAAGTGGTCCTGGGGCCAAAGCTAGCCGAAGGATTAGCCGAAGCTATGGCTATATCCTTCGGCTGCTTTGTGAATAGACCCCATAGTGTCTCCATGTACTTTTGTTGAGCGGTACATGAAGCAATTTCTGTAAAGAACACTATTGAAATGAACCACTATAGTTTATAGCTGTATTAGCACTGGAAGCTGGCATTATACATTTACCTACACCAGCCTTCAACTATATGCTGCAGACACATACCAGAGAACAGATACTATGCCAGTTCTCCCCTATAAAGGAGTTCTTTAATCACAATAATGTTCCTGTTTAGGGCAACTAAGGGAGAAGTGAGAACCATGCATGGTTAGTCTCTGCCCAAGCAAAAGCAATAGTAATTTGGTTTTTTGCTTGATCTTTAAAACACTTTAGTGATACTGCACTGCCTCATATACATTGCATTATCAGACTGACATCTTATGTTTATGGTTCCCTTGACTTAGATATATTCCCTCTTCAAAGTCTCAGTAGGGAAGATCTCTCACATCTATAAAATTTCCCTAAAAGATTTACAACTCTTGCCAAGAACAGGTACTGGAATGTCCTACTTTGTTTTCTTCGCTTGCATTTCTCTTATTATTGTCATGCCTTGCTGATAGCATCCCTGCACTACTAGGTCCTTATCCAAGGGTAGACCTTGTAAATGTTTGGAGGTTGTTTCTAGAATTACTCACTTTCCAATGTCACACACACATGCTAGACCAAGGTCAAAGCCATTAATGGCAATATAGTGGACGTCTAAACAAACATTTCCAACTTAGATGACAAGAAGATGACATGTTCCAGGCTATACCAATACATGACAATATGAACCCTTTAAGACCCAGTTACATACAGTATATATAATAAAGGCTCTAATATTAAAAACTAACAAGTATTAGATCATGGCTCTATAAACTCATTTGTGTTATTTTTTTAAAACATATGTCAAGACAAAATTTAAAAAATACAAATTCAGTACATCTCTGCAATGCATGCACATTTTCCCAAGCGTTATTCCTTTAAGGACTCTCCAAGTGCACAAAAATACCTGTTTATGTGCCAGCAATGCACTTGACTCTTAAAGTTAAAGGAGAACTATGTCAGTGTTTTTCCCCATAATTCTCCTTAGGGTAACGGGAGGAAACAAACTACCGTCCTCCCATTACCCTAAGCTCAGTATACCACAGCTCGCGGTATACTGAGACGCTGCAGCCGGAGCAGATCCCGACTTAGAAGACGGGATCCGCCCAGCTGCGTGAGTGACAGCTGGCTCTGCCTATCTAGAGGCAGAGCCAGCTGTACCCGCCCCCTCCCCCATCCGTTCCGCCAGTCAGCGCTGGCAGATCGGAGCGGGGAGAGGTGAATCCAGCCCCTCCCCCTGTCACGGCAGAGAGCCGTGACAGGATTGAGAGGTGAGCGAACCTGGTATGTGTTCGCTCACCTCCCGATCTACTGAGCCGACCTGTGACAGTCTCATTGTCACAGGTCGGCTAGAACTATGAGGTGAGTGAAAAGCACTCACCTCATAGTTCTCCTTTAAGGTGCCCATACACCTTACAATTATCTGCAGATTTTCTGTGGTCAGATGGAAAACGTGCAACAGATTGACCCAGGTGGAGATTACTCCATCCACACATTTAAGTGTAGATGGAGGAATCTGTTGCACCTTTTCCATCTGACTCCTGAAAATCTGCAGATAATTGTAAGGTGTATGGCCAGCTTGACACTATTCGCAGGAGTTAAACCTTAAAAATGCATCCAAGTATACTTGGAGTGGTGTCTACTTTACAACACTCGCAGGGACCATGGGCAACAAATGTACCCACCCTCCAGAAGGAAGGACAGTTTCTGCACCAATCCAGAGATGATTTGAGGATCTACAGATAATTGATACACAAGCTACATGTTTGTTAATAGTTAGGGCATTTTAATGCATATTTAAGATTTAACTTCTGTGTTCAGTGTCATTTTAAGACCTGTTGGGGGCTGACAGCTTTATGAGAGAAGAGTGGTGTCAGCCTACCCAGGTGTCATTTGCTGAACTGCGCAATCACTCCCACTCTCAGATCTCTACAACAAAAAAGGCTAATCATTCTGCAGTCTAAAAAAATAACTAGCAGGGTCTTTCAAATAATGCAAGAGAGTTTGCAAAAGACACAGGACAGTTTTGAATTTCTGACAAAATCAAGTTGTTTTTTTAACTTATAGATATAGAAAACACTTTTAATGTATATTTATTAGACCAAAAGGGAGCAAATAAGAGACGTTGATTGTTAGGGTTTGCACTTTAAGATATCATATGCAGAAAACATACACAATTTTTTTCACTAAAGGGTGAAGAGTTTGGAGAAGGCAGGAGAAGTGAACAATCTAGGACAAAATAGCTCATTTGGAAAAAATTCTCCAATTCAGCTCACTTTCCTGTTCAGCTATGTTGTCCTAGATTGTTCACTTCTCCAAACTCTTCACCCTCTTGTGAATAACCCTGACAGTGTTTAAAGCATCCCTTTTGGCAATCACAATCCATATTTACTTTGGGTCGCTACATTTTTTTTAGGTCTGCAGCTGTTTATTTATGGATTATATATGAAATCAATTGGAAAAATTCCACCTTTATAAAATCCTTACCCCAATTAGAAGGTGCCTGAGCTGTTAAAAAAAATAAGAATGAGTTTTAATAACAGAATACAGTTTACATATAATAATTATAGAAAGCTGCAGTGGAACGTATCATTACACAAGTAATGTGAAAGACTACATATATGGAGAGTAGCGCTATAGACTAGGATTACCAAAACTCAAAGTTCATATATTCACATTAATGCAGAGAAGAATGACGTAAGCAAATGACCGAACAAAACTATATGGCCTATGTCTAGTGGCTTATAGGAATCATGTAGGTCCCAGCCATTTTTGATGATTATCCCGCCACTTACTACCTTATATAAACCATTTATTTAAAGTAGAATAAAAGAAAAAAGTGCAAATGAGTAAGTGTGATGATCGTAATGCAAAGTTTATAAAAAGACAGTCAACGCGTTTTTCGGGGCACAACAAATTCTCCTTCATCAGGGATGATAGTATGATTTGATTTGTTTCACCATAACTGCCAAATTTTGTATCCTTAGAGTAGCATTATTATTGATCATTTTGTGTATTCTTTGATTATTAACCACAGGATTTATCTAGAACATGACTTCATTGATTTACCCTAAATCGTAAGTCTGATAATTGTTGAGCCGCCAAACTGTGTTGGCTCTCTTTCTATTAACTTTGCACTGTGATCTATAAAGTTTTACTGGACCTTTCATACATTTATGGCGCTCTCACTAATTTGCACTTTTTTCTTTGAATTATCTCAAGGCATAGAGAGCAGCCTTGAAAGACCCAGGACCTTACTAGGTCATATATATCCCTGTAGTCCAGAGTTCCACCGATACCTATTTTTTATTAAGGTAGAACTACGCAAGCAGTTAATTACACATATTAAATGTATATGTGGCAACTGTTGCCAAATGATATGTAGTTCTGTTTAGCCGCTCATGATAATTTACTCCCCCCTTCTAGTCAGCATAGCCAGCTCCCTGACATAAAAAATTTTAAATACAGGAAAACAAGCTGTGTCATGGACTTGTCCCAGATTGTGATTGGATGGCAAAAGAACATAGGAAGACTCACTCCTCCTATCAGACTATGGAAGATTGCACAAAACATCAGAGCCTGATTGGCTTACAGTCTTTTCTTTACCTCCTGCTGTCAGAGACTTTCTGTGTAGGGATTGCAAGAAACTGATATAAAGAATCTTAGAACCTGGCTAGTGGGTTCGGGGTCTTATGAAGTTTGTATTGTTTATTGAGGAGATTTTCCCACAATTCCTGCCACTGTTGAACCATTCACCAGAACTATAAATTAGGTGGAAATCTCCCAATCACAAATACAGCAATAAAAACCTGACAGAAGTTCAAAGCATTCTCCACCCTTCCAAAATAAAATTAAAAACATTTTTTGTTGAAGTTAAGGCATGGCAAAAATGTTTTTTAAACAAGGTTTGTTAAAATTTTCTTCAACAGGCTGATAGCTTTCCAATGGAATTGCTCACTCCCATGCATCACAACAGATAAGACTTCTTCTTGAACTACCCCATTTCATGTTCCCTGGACTCACCTAGGAAACAACTAGGATGCACATGTGTATGTTAGCGTCAACTGCACAACATGTATTAGGTATCCTCATACATGCCGGATTGAGGAATAATTCTGGGGCTTTTATTAACAGTTAAAGCGGACCTTTACCCATATCTTTAAAATAACAACAAACACACCTTTAGAAATGTTTAGTAATGTCAATCTACAAACACATACTTATAGATAATTGCCGGCTTTGTATTCTTTGCATACCTTATTTCTCTTTTCTTCCCCAGTCTTCTGACAGTGGCCATGTTTACTAGCTCTCCTATTACTTCCTGGATTACTGGCACATGTGACTAGACATGTGACTAGGGCATGTAACCATGCACATCATCTCAGGGGAGGAAAATGCCTTTCCTGAGATCTCATGAGATTACAGATGAGATTTCCCAGCAGTGCTCTGCTGATGTCCATTGCTTTGGCAAACTGAAGTAACTGAGCACTTTCAAAGCAGGAAGTGAATGCTCTGCAAGTGTAAGTATTTTAAAATCACAGCATTTTAAATCAATCATACATAGAGGGATGCATTGGTAGAATTTGATTTTTGAGTGTGAAGGTCCGCTTTAACTCTAAACTGGTAAGCTGTAAAGATTTCTAAAGCATTCCCTATTGGCAATTTTGGGTATCTTCGTTTTTTTGCTTTTCTTTTAGCAGACGCACACAATTGTGAGGCTTGACATATATTTACTAAACGTCTCAACAGCTCATATTTTATATTTAACAAAAAGAGTATGGGTTTTAATGTGTTTGTGGGCACAAAAATTAATTTGAGGGTATTTTTGTTTGCTGAAAATATAGATTTGATAAACAGTGGTGCAAATGTGGTGCAACATAAAGCAAATTGTTACTACTATCATATTTTTCTATATGTCCTCTATTTTTACAAAATATATACAAGTATTTTTACAGGTATCCAAGGTTGTAGACATGTGCACCAGCAAAAAATTAGTTTAGTTTCGTTTTGATTCGGATTTTCGTTTTTCGGATTCGGGTCCGCAGCTAAATTTGTTTCGGGATTCGGATTCGGACGAATTTCGTTAGCGGTAGTCCGGTCGAAATTTCGTTTATTGGACGAAATTTCGTTAGCAACAAAGTGACATTAGAAAAAAAATGGTTTTTGTTTTTTTTGTTTACAGTCTGCAGAAGATGAAAAAGAAAAAAACAAAAAAAGCGTGAGGTTCCCCCCAATTCATACCAGACCCTTTAGGTCTGGTAGGAATGTTAGAAGGGACCCTCCCCAAGTTAAAACAAAAAAAAAGTGCGTGGGGTTCCCCCAAAATCCCTACCAGACCCTTTAGGTCTGGTAGGAATTTTAAGGGGGAACCCCAGCCCCAAGAATTGGGGGGGAAAACGTGGGGTCCCTAACAGTCCTACCAGACCCTTGATCCAAGCACTGGCCCGGCAGGCCACGTTCCCTCGGCATTGGGAGGGTGTCCCCGTGCTCATGGGGACAAGGGCCTCTTCCTCACGACCCTGTGGAAGGTGGTTGTGGGGGTCTGCGGGCAAGGGGGCTTATTTGCATCGGGGTACCCCTTTAAATAAGGGGGCACCCAGATGCCGCCCTCCCCCCTTGTGAATGATTAAGGGGTACTTGTACCCCTACCCATTCACTAAAGGGTTAAATCAAATAGTTAGTAAAAAGTTCAGACTTTTAGATAAAATCCTTTAATTGAAAAAATAAATAAAAAAATGGCTCCATCCATGTAATCCAGCATCAATCATGATGCACGACCCCCGTCGACCCACAGAAAAAACTCGACCCAAAATGATATTCAGCCTGAATGTCAACAGGCGTGATGTCACGGCTCGCTCCGCCCATTTGACATTCTCAGCCGTCAAATACTACATAGCATTTCGGAAACTCCCGAGTGCTATTCGTGAGTTTCCAAATGCTATTCATGTCAGTGAGCCGAGGTGTCATAATGCTTTTCATTTGACAAAAAAAAACATTTTTTTTTTCTGTCACTTTGCTGATAACGAAATTTCGTACAAAAAAAACAAAATTTCGACCGGACTACCGCTAACGAATTTCGGGAAATCGGGAATTCAGATTCGTTTGCATTCGTTATAGCTGTAATTCGGAATTCGGATGCATCCAAAGCTCAGAATTTCCGGATTCGGAACGAAACGAATCGCACATGTCCACAAGGTTGACTTTAGAGATTTATTGCCTGCAGGTGCTGTTTTTATGCTTATCAGAGATCCCCCAGGCTATAACAACATACAAATAAAAATAATTGCATGCATGATTTAGAGTGCATTCATGCATAACCGGTATTTGTTCACAGACACCCGAAAACATTATCTTTGTTTACTGAATCGACATCTAGGAAAAATAAAAAAAGATAATCTATTTTTTTACCATAGAGAGATATTGGATAGCCATAGTACTGCCCTGCAAAAGAGAAGAAAAGCAAATATTGATGGTATAAAGCACTCAATATAGAATTGGATTCAGTTTAGTATTAAGGCAGCACATCATGTGTACATGATTGTCAAATGCAATGTGAAAAGTTGATACAAGTGCTTCAATATAAAAATGTCTACATCAGTTGAGGGGCCTAGGGTATTCCCTGTGTTGCAAGCCACACAAACCCTTATAAAATCTGAAGTATCCAATTGACTAGTCAGTGTATACTATTGGCTATCACCAACTATGCCAGAAAATGTTGATCACATGAAGCTACTCACATTGAAGAGCATAATGTTTTCTGAAGATTATAGCCTAAAACCTGAAATCTGTTTTTTTACCTGATAGTCTCTTCTTCAGTGAATGTTGGAGATAATCTTACTGTTACTCCCATCATGCTGGGAAGCTCAGCTCTAGCTGATGTCTGTTAAATCTACAGACAATAAGTAGTCAAATGTCACTTCTTCTAGCCCAACAGCAGTCTTCCAAAGTGATGCAGCATGGCTAAACACCACTGACGACACTATCTTATCTACTTGCCTGTAAATAGTTACATAGTTACATAGTATTTGAAATTGAATAAAGACAAAGGTTCATCAAGTTCAACCTTTCTGTCTCTATGTGTGTTTGTGCGTGCATGTGTGTGTACTGTATATGAGTTCCTGTGTGATCTAGTTTTTAAGAGTAGCAGGTACTGTATGTTATGGTCTGTAAGGAAGGTATCTAAATTATTTTTTAATGATTCAATACTCTCTGCTGATACCACTTCTTGTGGAAGAGAGTTCCAAAATGTAACCACTCTAACTGAAAAGAAGCCCCTACGCCCTTTGTGGTTAAATCTTTTCTTCACCAATTTTAGGTGGTGTCCTCTAGTCTTTATTTAGGGAAATTACACTAAAAAGTTTATTGCTGATTTTGCCATCACCACTAAACATTTTGTACATCAAAATCATGTCCCCTCCTAATCGCCCCACTTCCAGTGTGAACAAGTTTAAATTTAGCAACCTTGTCTCATAGCTTCTAGCATTCTCCAGCCCTTTAATTATTTTTGT